ATCTGTTAAACTTCACAATGGCAGATATTTATGTAGGACAAATACAAAGCATTCTGTCCTGGGCAAGCTGTGGCATTGAGTGAAAAGTCTCCTCACCTGCCCTCTTGATAGAGGGCTTGGGAGTCCGACCTCAGGATCTACCACCCGTCCGTAGGTCGTGCTGAGAGATGAGAACTGGGCATGGGGGGCAAACTATGTGTGTGGGGTGTTGCAAAGACATAGCAAGCCTGGCCGGTGAACTCCATGGGATTAGTGGATGGTAGACAAATAGGGCAATAGCCATTTTCAAAATGCACACAGGAGGGGGTGAGCATGACATCAGCAGGGAAGTGTGACCAGGTCACACACAAACCAGAGGGAGGGACCTGTGGGCCATGCACATCCTCTCATTTCTGAGGTCGCAGGGCCAGTTGGCACATGTTAGTCTGGCTGGAGCTGCTTTTGCTGTGAGTGCCCCAGTCTGTGTCCCTGGCTGGGATGGCTGCTGGGTGAGCAAGCTAGGTCTCAGATATCTGTTCCTTGGTGGTGGGTGTTGGCAGTGCTTGTTCTTCTGAAGCCAGATAAGTTGCTTTTTGTGGGGAGAGAGTCCCCAGGACCATCACCCCTAGATTTTTCTAGGGAAACTTGTCCAATTTTTACCTTTTCTCTGTAACAAACATCCATGGACTCACTCTCCTTCTGTGAGACTGAGAGGCTTGAGGGTGTGTATGTGTGTGGGGAGAGTATGTGTGTAAGGATGAATGTGTAAGTGTGTGTGTGTGTGTGAGAGGGAGAGTGTGTGTAAGGGAGAGTATGTGTGTAAGGATGAATGTGTAAGGGTGTGTGTGTGTAAGGGAGAGTGTGTGTAAGGGAGGCTGTGTGTGTAAGGGAGGCTGTGTGAGTATGTGTAAGAGAGAGAGTATGTGTAAGAGAATGTGTGTGTGTGAGAGTGTGTGTGTAAGGATGGAGGTGTAAGGGAGTGTGTGTGTGTGTGAGTGTGTGTGTAAGGATGAATGTGTAAGGGTGTGTGTGTGTAAGGGAGAGTGTGTGTAAGGAGGGCTGTGTGAGTATGTGTAAGAGAGAGAGTATGTGTAAGGGAATGTGTGTGTGTGAGAGTGTGTGTAAGGATGGAGGTGTAAGGGAGTGTGTGTAAGGGAGAGTGTGTGTGTAAGGGAGAGTGTGTGTTAGGGCGGCTGTGTGTGTGTAAGGGAGAGAGTGTATGTGTGTACACACACTCACAGGAGAATTCATCTGCCTGCTGAATATACTCCCCAAGTCTGGTCTCCAATAAATATCCCTTAGACACACCCATCCATGTCTACTCCCCTCCACAGCCCCTAGCCTTTCTTCCTTTACTGATGTCACAGGCTTGTTTCTTCCTCATTAACTCTATTCTGGACTAAAAAATGCAAGTTGAGTACCTAATTTCCAAACAAGAAGACCTATTATCTTCTCAAATAGGTCATATCAATGAAAGGAACTATTTAAGGGGCAAGAGGGGTTCATTTTGTTTGTTTGTTTTGTTTTTGTTTTTGAAGACAGAGTTTCTCTGTGTAGCCCTGGCTGTCCTGGAACTCAGTATGTAGACCAGGCTGCCCTCGAACGCATAGAGATCCACGTGCCTTTGCCTCCCGAGGCTGGGATCAAAAGTGTGTGTCACCTCCGCCCATCTGAGAGGTTCTTATTGAGGATGGATGCTGACAGTCGGCACTGAGGATGGACCTCTTAGGTGGTGGGGCTGGGAGTCAAGCAGATGCTCTGAGATCAAAGAGTCCTAGGGACCCCAGATGACACATCTCCTCCTCCCTGCACCTCAGCTGTCTCACCTGGAAGGAAGGCTAGACTCCCTCATCTGAAAGGTGTCCTCCAGTTGGTTGAGAATGGAAACAGTGCTGAGGAACTGAACATGGCTTGAAGTTAGCAACAGTTTTCTTCTTGTTGGGATGTCTTCCTCTATTACTCTCCACCATTTACTTGTTTATCCATCTATTTAGTATTTATTTATTGAGATGGGATCTCTTCTGCTTTCACTTAGACTTGGCTGGCCTAAGACTCTGGATGGGATCTGCCTTTCTTCACTTTCCTCAGCACCAAGCCTGGCCTTTGCATGAGTGTTATGAATCTAGGTGCAGGGCCTCATTCTTGCACAACAAACACTTTACCCACGGAGCTACCTCTCGTTCTCTCTCTCTCTCTCTCTCTCTCTCTCTCTGTCTGTCTGTCTCTCTCTCTCTCTCATTATCTTTTTCTCTTCTCTCTTTTCTTCGAGACAGGATTTCTCTGTTTAACAACTCTGGCTGTCTTGGAGTTAGCTCTGTAGACCAGGCTGGCCTTGAACTCACAGAGATCTGCCTGTTTCTGCCTCTGGAGCGCTGGGATTAAAGGCGTGCGCCACCAAGGCCCAGCCACCTGGGCGTTTCTAAGTATTTTACTTTTGTAGATGAATTTCCTCCTGACCTCATGCCTGGGAGGTAGGCAGTACTAACAAGTCCATTATGCAGATTTGGAAACTGAGGCATTGTAAGGGAGTTGGGATCTGAACCAGGCCATCTGGCTGTGGAGTGGAAGCTCCCTACTACCTCACTCAACATTCTGGGCTCTGTGCTAAGTGTTTACCCAAATCTTCCCTGTTTTGCAATTGAGAAATCTGAGACTCAGAGTAGTTGAGCAACAGCTGAAGGTCACACAGCTGGGGAGCAGCAGGGTTGAGATTCAGGACCGGCTGGGCTCCAGGGCCTCTGTGCCGCAGCCCCTTTGGCAACTCTGCCAGACCCTCAGGCTCTACAGCCAGTTTAAGCAACCTCCCATCATTGCGATCTCTCTGGGTGAGTCAGCTCCTTTCTCCATCTAGAGAGTGACAGGGGTCAGCCCTGTGTCCTGAGGTCCCCAGCAGCTTGTTGAGCCAGTGAACGGAGAGGTGTGGTACTTCTGGCTGACAGGGTAGCTTCATGGCCTGGGAATGTCTTAGATTTGGCCTATGTTTTCAGCCAGGGAGGATGCAGATGGAGGCTGTGTGTGTGTGTGTGTGTGTGTGTGTGTGTGTGTGTGTGAGAGAGAGAGAGAGAGAGAGAGAGAGAGAGAGAGAGAGAGAGAGAGAGAGAAAGAGAGAGAGAGAGAGAGACTGTTGAAGTGAAGGGGACAAAGGGCAATTTAGAATGGTGGTGAGGAGGCACAAACTTAGGGAGAGGGTGTTGTACGAAGCAGATGAGAAGGGAGAATGAGAAAGAAGACCCGGGTGGGCTTCCTGGGGGTCCTTTTCTCTATTCTGGAGAATACCTTCAGCTCAACACAGGCACAAGAGTGCATCAGGCCAGGCCTCCGTGGTCAAGCCATCTTAGGGCTGAGGTTAGAACCCCCCGAGACACAGCAGTTTGGGGAATTAACATGGCTGGAGGTTATGTTGTTTCTGTAAATATTTGGAGACGTCCAGTTATACTAGAAAAATGTATCTGAAGCCAGGGTGGCGTGTTTGTGTGGTTGGCCCAGCTTCCTTTTCCCTGACCACTCTGTTGCATTCCTCCCTGGTAGGAATTGAGGGTTGTTTTCCCATCTGTAACCTCATTAGGATACACACACCCACATGCACTCTGGCAGGTTCCCCTCGGGGACGTACATGTTCAGTGGCATCGTCCTCTTGCCACATGCTTGTGGTCAGGCAGTCACAGCTGTACCTTTTAATATTCAATACCGTCATCCCAAAAGCCGCTGCACGCCCCATCGACTGCTCTCCTGCCAGGCTCCTTCCTCCCAGGGTGCTGATTCCAGGCCTGGAGGCTGCCTGACAAACTGTGTTAAAATCCTTCTAGCCCCACGCATCCTGTGGAGGAGGGTAATGGGTGTGTTTGTAGTTAGAGCATGGGCATTGTTAGGAGGCAGGCTCCATTTTCTTTTTGCTCTGGGAAATCGGAGTTATGTTTTTGTGTGACTGTCTCATCTCTCTCTCATGTCCCATCCGCAGCCTGACTCCAGGCTCAGAGTGGTTAGGGAGATGAGCCTTCAAACACTTCCCTAGGAATGATAGGTTGGGCTAATCTCTCTGGCTTGGAGAAGTTAGGGTTATGGTTGGACACTGGGGAGCAATAACAAGGATGCTTGATCTGTGGGGGTGGGGTGAGGGTGGACAGATTCTGGTCCTCTCCCTCTGCTTTCCACAAAGGATACCTACACTGCTATCTTTTGAATGTAGGGGTCTCTCCAATAGTCCCATATTGGAACTTAAACCCCATAGTGATGGATGGTACTGGAGCCCTTGGGAGATAACTGGCTGGTCATGAGGGTTCCACCCTGATAAATGGGGCTAATGCCTTATATAAAGGGCTTGAAAGAACAAGCGTGGGCTTTATGCTCACTGTCTCACTTCCAGAACTGTGAGAAATAGATTTCTATTGTTTATAAGTTACCCAGACTGTGGTATTTTGTTTCAGGCAACAGGAATGGACTAAAACACACACTAGAAAGGGCCACTGTTACTAGAGGCCAGAAAGGAGGATGCCCAGTGGTTCCGGCTCTCCTGCACCCAGCTAAGAGTCTGTGTCACCTGCCTCATCTTAGCTCCCCTACTCTAGAATGCCTTGACCTCTGAGCTTCCCACCAAACTCGAGTTCTCAGAGGGATATGTAAGAGTCTGAAGGTGCCTGAGAAGGGTCAGGGCTGTTTCAGGCTCTTGTGGTACAGCAAACACACCAGGATGTAAATGTTGCCGAGGTCCACTGAGTTCCCAGGCCCAGAGGTTCCTGAGACAACCTGGTTTTTCCATTCTCTGCTCAGAGTGGTCTCCCATGTGCACTGCTGCCTGCACAGGCCTGGGCCCCACGAGACGGACATCCTGTCCTCACTCTCTTCCCACCTCTGGCAGCTCCCTGGGCTTGTGTCTCTGGAAGCACTCAGTGACCTCATGTTTCTGAGTGTTGAGAAAGGAAGGCTGAGGAGGAGGGGTGTGGGGAGCCAGGGCCGTCAGGTGGAGTGGGGGGATTACCAAAGAGCTCACTCCCTTGCCATTTACCGAATAATTTTCCCCCTTCTTTTAACGTTGTTGTTTCCTCAAGGGAAATTTTTTTATTTGTGTCTGAGTGAAATGTGTGCTCTTATAAATCGAAAGCAGAACATGAGGAAAGGTTTCCGTTGCTGACAGAGAATAAAGAAGCAGCTTGCTGGCCTTTGTCAGCCAGCAGGGTCATCTTCCTTCATTCCCCTGACCTTTCTCCCTGCCTTTTCCTCCCATCCTAGAGGAGAGACCTGGCCACTGTCATCCAGAACCCCATCCAGAGCCCATCTGGGACTGCGATCAGGCTAATGATGTGGTCTGGCCTGTAGGAACCACCACCCCTTCTCTGGGGAGAACTGAGGAGGGGCAGAAGGGAGGGGCACTGGTGTTCTGAGGGAGCATGGAGACCCCCATTTCTTGTTGACTTGATGACAGCAGAGAAGGAGGATGGAAGAAGGGAGTTAGGTCATAGTTAATCAGACCAGTCCATGGCTCCATTTCCTCCATAAGCTGGGAAATAATTCCACCATCTTGGTTTTGGAGACAAAACCTGGGTTTCTGGAATATGTGACCTCTGTCCTTGAATCTGTGGGACATCTCACTAGGATGGGAGGTTCATGCAGAGGGCTCAACACTCTGCTTCCACCAGGGTGTTCACCAGCCCCACACCTTTCACTCCAGAAGGTATGATGGCCTCTCAAGTTTCACTTTTGTTTGTCAATTTGGGGACAGCAGTCCTGGTTTGGGTTTTAAATTTTCAACCATGCCTCTTCCAGCCTCGGTTGAGGTAGCATGGGTTGGTAAGTGTTTTCTTAGGCCCTGAGGTCAACCTTACTGGCCAGAACTGCCCTGCCCTCAGCAGCTCTCTGGTGGATCCTGAGTCGAGTCCTTGCATATGCTCCCAGTCCCCACCTTAGGGCCCTGGGAGAGTTCCTTGTAGTCCATCAGGGGAGCCCTCTATGGGGAGAAGGTGGTGGTAGTCTCAGCCTCCGTGCTCATGGAAGTATGCCTCACATGCCGGCAGGAAGACCACTGTCGGAGCTGTTCCTGACTGAGGCAGCCCAAGTCCTTGAAGAGCTTGAAGAGGTCACTGCGGAACTTGACGCCAATGAAGGCATACAAGAAAGGGTTGACGCAGCAGCGGACACAGGCCAGGCTGTAGGTGACGTCATAGGCAATGTTGAGCTGCTTGCTGAGTTCACAGCTGCTGTTGGTGATGTTGAAATTGGCCACTGTCTGGGCCAGGACCACTCCATTGTAGGGCAGCTGGAAGACTATGAAGACCACCACTACAGCAATGATCACCTTGATGGCCTTGTTCCGTTCAAAGTTTCGTGCCTGGAGCAGGGTGCGGATGATGACAAGGTAGCAGAAACTCATGGCCAGCAGAGGCACTAGGAATCCGATAACCATCTGGGCCACTTGGATGGTGATCACAGCCTCCACATGGTCAGTGATGAGTGAGCATCTCCACGTGTCCTCACTGGAGTTCTTCTGGAGGCCACTGTACAGCAGCTCTGGGGTAGAAAGCAATAGGGCCAGCATCCAGATACAAACACAGGACAGCTTGCTGATGAGAAGCACCCGGGCACGGTGGCGGTGGGCTGACACAGCCTGGACAATGGCCACATAGCGGTCAATGCTAATGCACAGGAGAAGCAGCATGCCGCTGAAGAAGCTTACTTTATAGATACCAAAGATGCACTTACACAGGTAGGCACCAAAGATCCAGGACTTGGCTGCGCTATAGGCCCAGAAGGGGAGGATCAGGAGGAAGAGGATGTCGGCCACCGCCAGGTTGAGCAGGTAGGTGTCTGTCATGGTTTTGAGCCTCTTGAAATAGATGTATGTCAACACCACCAGCCCGTTGCCCATTAGGCCCACGAAACAAATGACCGAATACATGAGAGGGAGGAACCAGGCTTTAAAGTTTCGCACATCTTTCTTGAAGCACACTGACTCATACAGGGTATAGTCCACGGTGGTGTTCTCACCAATGTAGTCGTCTGTGACCTCATCTTGGCAGAAGCACACCTGATGGGGGAAGAAACACCTGTTTAGTCAGCAGTCCGGATCTAGCTGGGGATTCAGCCTATAGAATGGTGCTTCCATCACGGATTGGCTACTTCTTGCAAATTCTCCGACCTTAGACATATTGAACCAGCACCTCAGAAGGCAGGGCCCAGGACTCTATGATTTGAAATCAGTGCATCTCAAGCGTCAGCATATGGAGCTGGAGAATTGGCTCAGTGGTGAAGAGAGCACGTGGTGATGTCGTAGAGAAACCTGGTTTGGTTCCCAGCACCCACATGGTGGCTCACTGCTATCTGTAACTCCAGATCCACGGGATCCGATGCCCGCTTCTGACCCCCAGGCAGCAGGCACGCATATGGTGCACTTACATGCACGCAGGCAAAACATTGTGTGCATAAAATAGTGTAAATGAAGTGTGTAGCGTGCACGTGACTAACCCGAGGAGGATCTTGTTAAGACGCACGTCCTGACTGGGCAGACTGAGGTAGCACCAAAGTCTACATTTCTGCTCGTCAGTAGCAAAGGTCTGGTTTTTGTCAAGTCTTGGGACACCCAGTTTCATGCTCACTGATGGTGAACTGTAGAGAGTCTGGGGCTCTGGAGTCTGCTGAACCCTGAGTTGGAAAACACACATCTTCCCCGTGTCTGGGAGTAGGAGACAAGTCCCCGCTTCCGTGCCCCCTTGTTGTGAGGTATGGGACTCCTATCCTGGTTCCCTTTACATCTACAGAGGGTTTATCTTACTCTCCAGCGATGCTGTGATGCTGGGAATGTGTGTCTTTCTTCTGGAGTGTCTGGTGAAGTTCTCTTGAGGGGGGGCTACAAAATGCCTCAGCTTCTGAGGGAAAAACCTATGTTAGGGTCAAGGTTGAGGAAGGTCTGAAGCAGGAAGAGAAGAATTTCAGTTCCTGAGGGACCATCGGCATGAGACACGGAGATTTTCATGGCTCCATGGTACCCACTACACTTAGGTAGTGTGTGCACAAATGTATCACGGGACAGAGCTCCTGCAAGGTGACTGCCTTCCTAGGGATGCTCGTGCCCCTGGAAGGAAGCGGCTCTCATCTCCCACTCTCCCTCTATGTTCCCACCCTCTCCTCACACCTCTTTGCCTCTCTTCCGGCAGATCCCAATCAGCGGGGCTCAGCTGTTCTGGGCTTTTTTTAGCCCTTTTGCAGGGCTGCAGGGAGTGTGTGGGGGAGGGTTCAGCAGCTGCTGTGATTTTATCAATGGAGGGGGTGCCTGCTGCGTGTGTGTGTGTGTGTGTGTGTGTGTGTGTGTGTGTGTGCGCACGCGTGTGTGTCCTTAGATGGACCAGTGTAGAGGAGTAGAAGTGTAGAAGGCCTACTTTGGAATGGTCATGGTTCCTCCACTGGGTAGGGGACTTTCCACCACTCAGTGGCAATCCACAAATTGCAGCATTATTGTGGGACTAGCAACAGGGTGAGGACAAAGTGGTGTTCGGGAACCTTCTCTTTGGGCATTGCTATCTTGAGAAGAAAGGTCTGCAGCAACCTTCTTCCCTTGGTCCAGGTGTGACTGCAGCCTCGGGGTGGGGGGTGGGGTGGAGGTGCTGGGAGAGATTAACTGTGCTTGGCCCCTCATGAATGGGTCCAAGGCCTTGGGTCCAAGGCCCCTGGATTTAAGGAGTTTTTAGACCTTTTTGGAGAACAGAACTCCCAGCTTCTATGGGGTGTGCTCCTACACACCCCCAGTCTTGCTGTCTCCCCCATCCCTTGTTCCTGCTCCACACCCTCCCCCACAGGCTTGCCGCCTCTGCAGCCCACAGCCCCACCACATCCGGCCTTGTCTGAACCCCCCTTCCCCCAAGTGAAAGACAAAAACCAGCCGCAGATGTCTTCACCCTTCTCTGGCCTTCCAGCCAGCAGTACAGGAGGGGAGGGAGTGGTGAAGGGAAGGGGCCAGGCTAAGGGCTACAGCCCAAGCTCCAGGGGGCCTCTGAGATGGGGTTTGGGGAACAGTGCCCAGCGTGGGGCCTGCCTCTGGCCTGAGCTCCTGGAAAGCTGCCCCTCTGGCCTCTGGACCTGGGGGAGAGTCAAATTCTGAAGCTTTGCTTCTCCAGGCTGGCCTTGGCCACCCCCGAGCCAGAGTTTTCCCACCCCAGCAGAGGAAACTTGACTCTAGGAGTTACGGCTTCTCTGGCTCTGGGGCTTGATGGGCACACTTTCCGCCTCCTGGCTGGGACAGAGAATGGAGCATTGTGAAGCGGGCTCTGGGCTCTGCAGAATTCAGACCCCTATATGTGTTCCATTCACCACCCTCTCCACAGGGTCCCAGGCTCCACTCTTTCTCCCTCCCCTCTCCCCACAGGCAGGCCAGATGGCTCTTGATTTTATGAAAGGCCACATAGAATGAGATTACGAGGAGAACCTTGGACTGAAAGGCAAGCGGAGACAACTTTGGGTGATTGGAGAGTAACCAGATCGCCAGACCAAGGGGTCCTTTCCCCAGCTCACAGACAGACATGTGCCTATGTGCAAAACAGGCCCCTCTAAGAACTCAGGAACTGTGTTTGTCTCCTAGGACTGAGAGATGGGGGGGGGGTGAGGAGACGAAGGCATGAGCAGGTCACTTCTCCCCTGAGCTTTCATTTAAATGGGGACAAAGGAATTCCAGAGAATGTCTGCCCCACCCCCACCCCCCAGGAGGGAGGTGGCCATCTGCTTAATGAATGGCAGGTGGGCTTGTGTCGGGGCCACTCCTTCCCTTGTAGCAAACTGGCTGGGGAGGGGATGTGGAGGAGGGAAGAGGGCAACCCCTGGTAGGAACCCTCACCTGGAAAATGACGAGGAGAGCCACCACCAGCACGTTTTTCATAGGTTTCCCTGCAGGAGACAAAGGAGGTGATATTACCGCCTGGCGGAGACAATGCTCTATTATTAAGGAAATCGGGGGGACTGGGGTGGGGGCACCATTGGGAACTTTCATCCCAGGCTCCAGGCACCACATTTGCTGAAAGAGAACATCAGAACCAGATTGTGTGTTTGAACACCTGGCCTGCAGCCCGGCATCCCTGTCTTCACCTCCTTCCCTCCCTCCCTCCTCTACTCCTAGGTCTGGGAAAGAAGCAGAACAGTTCTGCTCCCCACCCCGTTGCCTTGGCCCGGCTAGGCTGCTGCTAGTTTGCAGAATCCACTGTACCCCAATAACCCTTCAAGACTTCTGGTTCCACACAGGGGCCTTGAGCACCCCCCCTCCAATTCCACATGATTCGGAAAGAGGAGGCAGGGCCGTGGGTGGTCAGGGTGTATGCACACATGCCCAGTGCTGCCCTGGTGAAGGACCCACTGGCCTGGGAGCATTGCTTGGTGTCCAGATGCATGCACAGGCACTTGTGAAATCTAACAAATGTTCCAGGGGAGGTGGGCTAAGGAAATGGAGAATTGTTTTCTCTCCTTTAACTTGTCTTTTAATTCCCTGTAGACAGAGGCCCTTGGTTAGAACAGGCGTGAACAGCTCCTCATTCTGCTTAAGGCTGAGCCTTGGGACAGCCTGGGCTGTATGTCCTCCTAAGCAAGAAGACAACTGGCGAAGTAAATTACATTAGACATCTTATCCTCCCCACCCCTGGCCCTCCTAGGGACCTTCGCTCTGCCTTCTTTGCCATTGAGACCCTTCTCCAGACCCTGAATCCCGGTTCCTCAGAGCCACAGGAGAACCAGTCTCTGTGATGGGTGCATAGTCACCTAGGTCAAACCAGAGTAGGACTTTGATCCAGTCATCTTCAGGAGGCTTGGGGGCCCTCTGGAGGCTGGGAAAGCAGCACAAGCCCAGAGGTTACGTGTCCTTGGCCATAGCACCACCTGCTGGAGCCTGAGCTATATGACACCAGGGTGCCACACGTGCTCCAGGCTGAGAGAGCTAGGCTGGGGATTTTAAACTTGGCCATTCTGAGTACAGGCACGAAGGGCATTAGGCTACCAGATGAATGTTTTTCCAACCTGCACATCATCCTTCATGCTACCTAGGCACGTCTCACTAAAAGCATAGCTCTGTGATAAAGTCTAGCCCTACTGTGCCTCCCTCCTAAATCCCCAAGAGCTCTTCCTAGCTGTAAAGCAGGGTCCTCAAGCCTCCAACCATCTACTTTAAGTCCTTGCCTCCCTAGCTCCATCTTTTTCTGGAGACAGACAGCCACTGTCCCCCTGTCATCAGCTTGCACTAGAAGATTTGCAGCCGGGGAGTGGGATCATCACCACGTGGCCTCACAGGTCCTCTCTCTTACTCCCTGTTTCTAACTGAATTACCCGTTGAGCCCCCGTGCTTGAGGCCATGTGTTCATGCCTAACCACACTCCTCATGGTCTGATGCCCTCCCTCCCCTGACTCATTTTGGTGTTCAGCGTTCGAGGTTTCTTTCAACGCGTCAACGTCTTTCGGTTACTATAGAGAAAGCTCAGTCTGACTGTCAGTGAGAGCTGACAGCAAGAAACCGCCCCCCCCCCCCCCCCGGGGGGGGGGGGGGGGCAGAAGAATTCCCAGAAGCTTTGGGGACCCCCAGCACCACTGAACAAGAAACAGTCTCAAGCGAGGGGGAAGGTTAAGACTAAGCTGGAGGTTGTGTTCTGAATTCAGTCTGTTTTACTCTGTCCCTTCTTCCAGGTCCTGTCCTGGTCTGTTTGCAGCCACTGGGGGGAGGGGCTCTAAGGTGTGTGAACGAAATTGATTTCTCATTCCAGGGATGCTGGATTTGGGGTGGGGGTGAGGGGTTGGTGAACCAGGGTCCTGTAGATCCAGGACAGGCCATTTTCAAGGCAGTTTACCAGGGGAACTTGGGGGAATTCGCATGTGTGGTAGCTGAGGGACCTGGTCAGTGGTAGTGAGTCACACGGCTCTTGCCCATCAACAGTCATAAAGCAACCACTCTTGGGCAGCGGTTGGGAATGTTGGTGTTGAGGAGCCACTGACTGAGGTGTTGGGTGTTTCCTGAGTTCTTGGGTTTGTGGAGTGAGTATGATGAAAGAAAAATTCCCTAGCACTCCAGCCTCCACCCCCCTCCCAGCCTGGGAAACCTTCTCTGCACTCGCCCCCCAGCCTGGGAAACCTTCTCTGCACTCCCCCCCCCAGCCTGGGAAACCTTCTCTGCACTCCCCCCCACCCCAGGTCCTAAAACTCCCACCTACTCATTTCCCCAATCCCCCCAGGCTGCCCAGGAAACCATAGCTGCCTATCATCCAGCCCCAGAGACACCTCACGCATTGTCCTCTCTGGATCTCCTCAGCCACTGTAGGGGCATGAGAGAGGGAGGAGGCAGAAGCAGGGATCCAGAGAGCAGATGGGAGGCAGGGATGTGAAAACTGATGGGATCTTGTCTATGTGAGGGTACCAACTCTTTCACTCAGTCCATTGGTGCTTACTGAGCACTCTGCAGTGCGCTGTCCACATGCGGGTGTTCTCATGGATACCGTGTTAGGTACTCATGTGAGGAGCCAGAAGCACAGGGCTTCCCCAGGGTCACCCAGCTGCCCCTTGAGCTGTGGAAACCACTCTCCTAGCCACTCTTGGTACATTTCTTCTCCTCACAACTGGCTGCTCACTTCTGTTGCTTCTACTCCTCTTGAAGCAGGTCCCTACTCTGTCCTGACCCAAGGCTTTGTTGTTCCTTACTCATTGCAAAACACACATTTCATCTATCCACCCATCTGTTTGGAAGGGGAAAAAAATCTTTGCTGGCTCCCATTCCTTTTAGGATGATGTATGGACTCACTGAGTTGTAAGGATTGTCCCAGCCTGGCTTCCTTTTTGGCACACCCACTCTCCCCCACTCCCCTTGGCCTGCAACTTTTCCTCTTTCTTGTCCCTCTGTGGGACTGACTACATCAGAGCTGACTGACTACAAGCCCAAGGTGTGTGTGTGGATGTATGCCCACATGGAGACCAGAGGTTGGCATCAAGGGTCTTCCTCAGTTTCTTACCACATCATCATCATCATTATTATTTTGAGACAGGGTCTCTCATGAACCTGGAGTTTGCCAATTCTGAAGACTGGCTGGCCAGTAAGCCCTAGGGATCCTACTGTCTCTGCCTCCCTAGGGCTGGCATTACTTGGGTGCGCTGCTGCTGCCAGCTTTTAAACACAGGTTCTGAGGCTCCAAACTCAGGTCCTCATGTTTGTGTGTCAATCAGTTTCCTGACTGAGCCGACTCTCCGGGCCCTCATTTATCTTGTTGACTTCTGATGGCTCTAGAGTCTGAAGTTCCTGCCACATCCTGGCCCTTATGTCTTCTCTATTTGGCTTGACAACTTCTACACCCTTCACAAACACAACATCAACATTGCCCTGACCCATGCTCACAGTTTTGTTTTTGTTTTTTTTTTAATCTCATCCTCATGCCCCTGGGGAGTGCTGTATCTCACGGTGGCATGTTGACATTTATGTTACTCTCCCCACCAGACTGGCTATTCATAAAATTCTCAATGAATGACACAGCTGACCAGATGAAAATGCCCTGAAAGGGTAGCCCAAGCTACCCTGGGCTGCAGTATTGTTCTCCACAGGCAGGTTTCTGGATGAGAGGATGAGACACGAGTCTCTTTGGGTTCTTTTTTCTTGTCTCTGCTTTTGAGAAGTTGTGCTGAGACCTGTGGTCCTGTTTCTCGAAGGTGGGGAGGGCACCTCAGGGCTGCTCATTCAAATCATGAAAGAGGCCGGCTCAACCCTGGCTTGGAGTTTTTCATTTTGTATAACAGAAACCCGGCCTCCTCACCCACCTCTTGTCTCTGCTGGGCAGACAGAGAGTGAAAAACAGATTCTTTGTGTGCCCCCCCCCCCCCCCCCCCCCCCCCGCCCCCCCCCGGTTCTTAGCAGTTTCCCCTCACACCAGCAGTTCAGGGGTAGCTGTTGGGGTGCTTTTGAGTTGAGTAAAAAAGCAAGACTATCCCTTCTTCCAGGACCAGAAGTTGCCCCACCCCCTGTGTCAAGGCCATGAGTCTAGCATCCCCAAACCTAGTACGGGAGAGAGACTCTATAACATCCCAGTGCCAGGACGGCATATGTTCATTCCCTTCATATGTTAAGCATTTAGACCTTGAATCAATCAACTGGGATGGGAGAATTTACACCAAGGAAATTGGCAAGTGCTTTAAATTCAGAACCTTTCCTCTATCCTAGGAGTCACTTTTTAGAGGTTAATATAGGGAAGGTGCAGAAGGTCTTTGGTGGATGGTATGGGCACTCTGGAGCTGACTGGTGGAAGTAGATAACTGGGGAGTAAGCTCAGAAAGCAGGCTAGTGGCAGGACAAGCTAGAAGAAACAGATATTCAAAATCTAAAACCTACTTGGAGGGATTGATTCCATCCATCATCCATCCATCTATCCATCATCCATCCATCTACCCACCCACCCATCTCAACAACACTTTCTAACTACACCCGGAAACATGTAAGAATCAAACTCTGCTTCCCCTGAGTTCACAGCCAGCAGAGGTGGTCACCACTATATTCATTCCCTCCACAGCTGGATCCAGACCCAGGGTGCAAGGCATGCTGGGCAGGAGAGGCAGAGATAAAGGCGCTGCAGGCTGTGGTATGGTGGGGAGGTGTATGAGGGCAGCACCAGGGAACCTTCACTTTTTAATGTCAACCCCTTGTGGCTTTGAGGCCACAATGGTGCTTTAGTTGCTGATGAACGGAACCCTCTAGGAACCTGGCCCTTTTAGCCTCAGTGGGGTCTGACTCTGCAGCTGAGATTTAAGATTTGTAACTAGGGTGTCTGGAGCTGGTCTACCTACTCAGCACCTTCTGGGACTTCCTTGGCACTATAGTAGAGACAGAGGCTAGACTGAGAGGAACAGTCTGCTGGGCTGTGGTGGATGGGGTTTGTTTAGGGGCTGTGCTGTGCTGTGCTGGGAGGTCTGGCTATGGCTTATCTACTCGGAATGTCCCCCCTGGCCACTCAGTTTCATGTTAGTCACTGTCCTTTAACTTGCAAGAGGCACCAAGCTAATGGGGTGTGTAGGAGGGAGGGAGGGAAGGAGACAGAGACAGAGAGACAGAGAGACTGACAGAGGTTTCAGCTTGCATTTGTATTGCATGACACACAGCACTGTCCCCTTCAATTAACACTTTCATAAAACCCACAGCAGAGAAAAGAGGGGCGCAGAGAGGGAGCAGGGTATCTTGAAGTGCCAGAGAGGTATCACCCATCACTCCCAGGGGGGGACAAGTTGTCCAGGTCCACAAGGTCAGCCTGCCACACTCTTCATTCCCTGCTCCTTCAGAAGATGACACTTTACTCCCTTTGTTCCTCCTGGCATCTGTAGCTGTTTCCTCCCCTGGGTCTGAGGGTCCCCTCAGGACCCTTATCCCCACCCCACACTCATTGCCTAGAGTCTGGTTTTGTGTCAAACACTCGCTTCTTCTCGCTTGAGGAGTTTACTCACCCAGGTCCATGATGCTCTCTGGGCAGCTGAAGTCACACAGGAAGGCTGTTCTTGAGTCTCTGTCTCCAGCTACTCCTGTCTGGGAGGAAGTGGTATGAGCCCCTTTTAAGTTGTGAGAGAAGCCACCCTGGGCCCTGCCCCTCCCACCCCTGCCCCGGTCATAGGACCTTGAGTCATAGGTCATTTATGTTCAGAAAGGTCCTGGTAGCACCTTGGAGAGCCTCAGCGAGGAGGGGCTGTTTCCATCTGTGAGTGCCTGCCTGCTTGGCTGGCTGTGCAGTGAGGTTCAGGAGTCAGAGATGCCCTTCATCCTTCTCTTTGTTGTGAATGAAACTCTTTTCAAACACAGTATGAACTGGATCAACAGCTACCATCCCAGTACCCACCTGCACCACTAGTGTGAGGTCCCTTGAGTGCTCTGACCGAAAGGATGGGCCGGTAAGCCTTCAATGGCAAAACCACAAAAGTGAAAGTTGAAGAGTTTGTTTTTAGTGTTTAAAGATGCTAGATATGAGGGTTCCTGTATTCCCTCAGCTTTTTCCACCAACAGAGAGGACATAAGAGCCTTTACCAGGCCTAAGCCATTATCCAAACTGATTCCCTACGGAGAACTATTTATTTATTTATTTATTTATTTATTTATTTATTTATTTATATTTCTTGAGACAGGGTCTCATTTATCATACAGCCCAGGCTGTCTTTACGCTTGCAACATAGCTGAGGATGACCTTGAACTTCTGGTTCTCCTGCCTCTGCCTCTCTTATACCATGATGAAATTCCCCCAGAGGGAGACTGCTAATTAGTGTTTTAAATTGAAAAAAATATTTGTCGGGCTGGAGAGATGGCTTAGAGGTTAAGAGCACTGACTGCTCTTCCAGAGGACCTGAGTTCAATTCCCAGCACCCACATGGTGGCTCACAGCCATCTGTAATGAGATCTGGTGCCCTCTTCTGGTGTGCAAGTATGCATGCAGATAACTGTATATATAATAACTAACTAACTAAATAAATAAATAATAAAAAGATTATTTGTTTTAATTTTATTGTTGTGTGTGTATGATATGTGTACACTTGTGTTTGTGTGCATTAGTATGCATGAGTATGAGAATTTCATGCCATTGGTTGTGTGTGGAGATCAGAGGACAGCTTCAGGTGTCAGTCATCTTCCCTTCTGTTGGAGGCAGAGTGTCGTCACATCACCCGTTCCATACTACCAGGTGAGGTAGCTGTCAAGCTTCTGGGGCTCTTGTTTCAGCTCCTGTCTCCTTGGAGGAATGCTCATGCTACTGTTAGGCTTCTTACGTAGGTTCTGGGGATTTGAACTCAGTTCCTCATGTTTGTGGGGCAAAGCTCTTTTATCCACATCTCCCCAGTCCAATTAGGGGGTTTAGGGAAAAGACAGAGCCCATGCTGAGCCTGTTAGGTGGCCACTAAGTTCTAGAGCAAATATCTGAATGTTCCATTTCAAAGAGAGATACCTGCAAATTTTTACCTCTGGCCACTGGTTGTAGCCAATTCAATGAGGTACAATACCTGTCTGATGCAGAGTTCAGAATGACTTAGCCTTGCTTCTGTATTAATAGTTGAAAACAGTAGCCATGGCAACATAATGCTTCACGCACTCACTTGATCCCCTTGTTCTGCTCTGCATATAGGGACTACATTTCCCAGACTGCTTTCCTTTCGGCTTCTGAGGCAATGGAAGGTTGAAAGAAAGGGATATGCCAGGATGTCTTTTCCTTCCTTCCTTCCTTCCTTCCTTCCTTCCTTCCTTCCTTCCTTCCTTTCTTCTTTTCTCCCTTCCTTCCTTTCTTTTTTCCTTCCTTCTTTTTCCTTCCTTCCTTCATTCCTTCCTTTTTCTTCCTTCCTTTCTAAAATAATACAACAGTTTTATTTAGATATGGTTCATATACTATAGCGCTCAGCCTTTTAAAAGATTTATTAATGTGTATTAATAAATTAATAAAAAGATTTTATTTTATGTGTATAAGTGCTTGCCTGAATATACTTATGTGTACCACCTATGTGCCTAGAGCCTGCGGAGGTCAAAAGAAGGTGTCAGATCCTCTAGAACTGAAATTATAGGTGGTTGTGAGCTGCTAAATGGGTGCTGGGAACTGAACCCAGGTCTTCTGCAAGAGCATCAAGGGCTCGTAACTGCTGAGCCATCTTTTCAGCCCCGACATTTACCCTTTTAAAGTAGACATTTCCATGACATGAAGTTAGAGTTTACTTCACCACAGTATATTCTGAATCATCTTTTAGTCAAATCTCCTGCCATTATTACCAGTGATTCCCATCTCTTTTCTCCCCATACACATAGCCCTTCGTAGCCACAGATCTACTTTCCTTCTGTAGATTTGCTGCTGATGGTTATTTCATATAAATAGACATATGCCATATGTGACTTTTGTATATGTCTTCTTTTAATTAGTGTCATCTATGTGTAGTATGTTTCAATTTATCATTACTTTCTATTGCTGAATGGTATTCCATTGTTTGGATATACCACATTTGTTTTATCCATCATCAGTTGGCTATTTGGATTGTTGCTACTGTTTAGCTATCATGAGTATTGTTGCTATGGGTATTTATATACAAGTCTTTAGTCTTATTTAATTTTCTGTTCCTGTGAAGAGACACCATGACCAAGGCAACTTATAAAAGAAATCATTAACTTGTTTACAGTTTCAGGGTGGTAGCAGGTAGGCAAACAGGGTACAGGAGCAGTAGCAGCTGAGAAAACCAGCATGGTCTTTTGAAACCTCCTCCATCAAGACCACACCTCCTGATCCTTCAAAAACAGTTCCACCAATTGGAGACCAATTATTCAAACATATGAGCTTATGAGGTCCATTCTCATTCAAACCACCACAGCCTTCATCCCAGAAGTTTCTCTCCCATCCCATTTATTATTATTATTTTTCATCTCACTTATTAAACATATGTGTTGCATCACTAGCAAGACACTGAAGGTGAGCCTTTGAGACTGCTGCCTGTTAGATCAGGAGAACTGAAAAGTCAAAACAGGAACTCTACAAGTGAACCTCTTATGAAGGCCCATGGTACCCTGAGGACTACTGTGGCCCACGCTGTGATGATCTTGTAGTTTGTGTACAACAGTGAATCCTGTGAGTTCTTATTCTCCAGCTGCAGCGTCACAGACACTCCAATGTATTGTACAAAGGTAAGTCCACAGGATAAACAAATTTAAAAAGAGAATGTACATCTTTGCACAACTCCATCATTGGCCACTCAAAACTGGTTGCTGCATGAAAGCGGAGGCTGCTTGACAAGGCACACTTTACTAAGAAGTGCTTACTGAGAAGCTGGTTGATGGATGCAGTGACTTCAACTTTTCCCTGAGATGGTACCCAGGTTTGTAGTGACATATTATTTGTGATTCATTAAAGCTTGCCTGAGGATTCAGAAAGCAAATTCAGCCACAAGCCATAGAAGCCAGGCACATTCCTCTAATCCCAGCAGCCAGAACCTAGGAGGTGGTGGTACACACCTTTAATCCTAGGGCTCAGGATTAAGAGGTAGACAGATCTCTGTGAGTCAAGACTACCCAGATCTACACAAGACTGATCCAGTCCTAAAGAGAAACAGCTCACACAAAGATGAGCGCAGCACCCGGGATCACACACCTTTAATTCCAGTGTTAGGGAGGTATATAAAACAGGAGCAAGGTCTCAGTATCAGGCATTTATTCTCCAGCCACTTTGAGAACAGGAATGCCCCAGCCCTTTTAGAGGTAACAGCTCTCTGGTAGCTTGGCTGCTTTGCTTGCTTGATCTTCAGGTTGAACCCCAATATCTTTCTCTGGATCTTTTATTAATTCATGTTACGCTGGCTTCCTTATTATTCCTTTATTAGAAACTAACTACAGGAGCCCCACAGTGGTGGCGCACACCTTTAATCCCAGCACTCAGGAGGCAGAAGCAGGCAGATCTATGTGAGTTTGAGGCCAGCCTGGTCTCCAGAGTAAGTTCCAGGATAGCCAGGGCTACACAGAGAAACCCTGTCTTGAAAACCAACCAACCAACCAACCAATAAATATAAACATAAAAAAGGCCAGGGGAAAGGTGGGGAGAGAAGGAGGAGGGGAGGGAGTGGGAACTGGGGTTGGTATGTAAAATGAGGAAAGATCAAATAAAAAAGGTAAAAAACTGCCTACAGAGCCCAGTTGAAACATTAGCAGAAGCAAGATTTGTATTATGACACAATAGATGCTCTTGATTTTAGGGTATGGATCCTATCTGTTTTTCTTTTCTTTCTTTTTTTTTTCTTACTTAGTTTTTATTTCATAATCATAAACTTAACTCTGCAATCCAGCTAGACTTGGAGGGGAATGAGGAAAATATGGAACCCAAAGAACTTCAGTGAGAGCAGAGATTACAGGACATTGTGAGCAGATGGGGTGGGGATGCTCTCCTGAGCTACAGAAAAAATGGTCTGGTAGGTAAGAAGCCCGCAAGTCAAAAGAATTAGAGTTGCCCACAGTCGGAATGGTGATCTTCTTGCTGGTCTTGCCAGTCCTGGACCAGAAACTCTCCATGGCTTCCACAATGTTCGTGCCTTCTTTCTCCTTCCCAAAGTTTGCCATCTAGCCACTCAGTCTTGGAGGTGCAGATAAAAAACTGGGAACCATTTATGTTTCATCCAGCATTTGCCATGGACAAGATGCCAGGACCTGTATGCTTCAGGATGAAGTTCTCATCCTCAAATTTCTCTCCTTAGATGAACCTGCCGCCAGTGACATTATGACATGTGAAGTCACCACCCTGGCACAGGAATCCTGGGATAATTCTGTGAAAGGAGGAACCCTTATATCCAAATCCTTTCTCTCCAGTGCTCAGAGAATAAAAGTTTTCCATTGTCTTTGGAACTTTGTCTGCAAATAGCTCGAAGGAGACGCGGCCCAAGGGCTCGCCATCGGCTGTGATGTCGAAGAACATGGTGGGGTTGACCATGGCTGCAGGAAGAGGCCACAGGGGACAGTGGCATCTGCAAAGAGGGCCTATCTATTTTCAAACATGTTAAAGCTTTTTTTTTTTTTTACTTTTTAAAAAAGATTTTATTTATTATTTATACAACATTCTGCTTCCATGTATATCTGCACACCAGAAG